TCCCCCCCCCCCCCTCCCCCCTCAAGGGGCAGTCGCGGCGCAGGGCATTAGGGTTAAGCTCAGGAGAGGGAGAAGCGTCAGGGAAAACATTAATTGCTGGCATCTCCCACGGAATCCCTTCCTCTGTAGTGAAGCCTAGTCCCAGGTGCTTCATGTGGTCACTCATTTGAAGCCCCTCCCCCCCCCCCCCCCAACGGATTGAGCTCCCAAATAAGTGGATAACAAATGTTATAGCAGTCGTTGATTTTGAAATTTCAGTCACTCTCAAGTGCTTGGAAAGACAGCGATTTTGTCTATGAAGATTATGATATTCTCACACCACAGCACCATGGAGTTACAGCGATGGAATTCGATGTTGGTTTGTTTTTGTTTCGGAAGCTTTTAAAGCCTAGCATATGTATTTATTTGTATTCTTTCTATAGTACTAAATGATTTTTTTCTAACGTATCACTTTGAATTAGTGTGATCAACAGATGCGGCCGTGGTATTTTACGTTGTTTTCAATTACAATGCCAAGTTACTTTCATGAGATTGCTTTCATAAGAAGTAGCGTAGAAACGCAACTATTCACATCGGAAATCCACTGTATTGGGGCCAATGTAATACTAAGGAGGCGAGACGGGTGCAATCGTTCATGATTGGAGTTCCGGTTGGGGTTCAAAGCAACTGCTCTTTGAATGCCTCGTGTTCTTCGGAGAATTACTTTTTCCTTTTCGATCGTTCTTTTCTTGTTCTTCACAGACAAAAGTTAGCTCAAAGCTTTCGATTTGTGTGCTACTCAGAGAAGAATCTCTTAACTTTCCAGATATCCTCTTTGGAACGTTCCCAAGTAACCCAGGACTAAGAACCTCAGAATTATCAAAGATTCCATCAATGAATTGGCGCGAAATATTCTTTAATGAACATTAGTTATTGTGCAACATAAAACGTCATATGACATCTGAGAACTTTTCTTTCGTGAACGACACCAATCAAGGGTGTGAGCAAGTCCTCAGCGCCCTCGAAGGAATCTCTAAGAGTCTTCTGGCTTCGGTGTTTTCGACCCGACGTTGTGAACACTGAAGAACGGAAGGTCCTTGGTCGTGGAAGTTGCCTAACCAAGGATCTTCTATCGATTTATCTTGTGCAAAAAAAGGTTGAAACGTAAGCCCCTCCAAAAAGGGTTTCATGTAGCATTCACGTTTGTTGTTAACAAATAAGGAAGACACGGTATGGAATGCATAATGCCGAGGTTTCGGGAAGGAACAGTGGGGAAATGCAGTAATTATTTAATAGCATAACTGGGGTAAGCCGAAGGGAAAGGAGTATCACGCAACCACGTAGGTTCAGCGAATGGTATAGTTTAGTTAACGTATGTATACGCATTCTACTTCCATTTGTACATTCGTAGTGGCGTTTGAATGCGATGTGGCCTATACAATGACTTGCGGGGGCCAGCCGATGTACAAGTCAGTGTTTTTATCCTCCCAGACAAGTCTGGTACCCCCGGAGGGATGGAAGGCTTGGTTGGCCCGGGCGACTCACGACCCAGGATTTGATCCCCGGACCGCTCGCGTGGTAAGCGTGCCACTTGCCACTACACCACTTCCGTAATAACTTGTATAGCAAAAATTACAATTCAGTAGGTTTCCCAGCGTTTACATTATCTAAAAAATCAAGCCGTAGCTGCGGATTGGTGGGAC